GCTTTTCAAAAGTTGCCCACGGGATCTACAGGTGTAACTTAACCGATGGGCTCCTTACACTATCAGATGAAAACCTGACACAGTTTGGTAGATGGAAGAGCTTAAATATTGGGCTGCGCCACGTTAATGCAGGCAGCATTTTTAACTAAACGCTAGCAAAAGAAATTCCAGTTCAAATAACTGCCACATAAACAGCATCATTCAAGTAAAACAACCGCAATATGGTTTTTAATAACAACGTGGCTGTGTAATGCGACTCAGATGAGGTAAATAAAATATGGACTTTTTGCTGACTGGTTAAACTCCTCATGCTGCGAGGTAAGTTACGTTAACGGTTAGCTGCTGGCTAACAAGCTATTGGGGTCAAAACATGCGACATAGTGGCTTGCTGTTGAACAGTTAAGTAGTTAAATATCTGGCTTAGTGTGTTAATGTTGGCTGTAGTGTTAAATTAAAGGCTGTGAGCGTTTGATTTTCGCACGAGGCCTTGACGTACCCTCCATCTCCATGTCCTCGGGCTCGCTGAGCTGCTGCTCGCCGGATTTCTGCTGCTGCTGCTGCTGGGTGTGATGGTGGTTCATGTTGGCGGCTGTCAGGATGGGATGATGCCTGGGCTCTTTGTCTCCTTCGGGCTGGTCTGGTGGCGGTTCCGCGGGCAGAGGCTGGTGGGGAGTCGGAGGACGCGGAGGTGGGGTAAACAGGTCGAGCCTTTGCGGCTGGGCCTGCGCTAAGACGACCTCGGCCTTGTCTGCTGTCAGCGCCGGGGATGGAGGAAGGGAGGCCGGCGGGGGAGCAGGCAGAGAAACGCGGACGTATTTGCTCGCTATTCGCCCAATCTCGGCGCCTGGGTGAAGGGATGCTAACGTTAAGGATAGTTGGCGGCCTCGGGCTTCTGCTTAACGAAGGCCCGATGAATGAAACCCCGGCTTTCCCCCGTAGAAGTGTGGGGCGAATGCAACTCACAACAACCTGCAGCCGGGGAAAACACAGATGGCCCAGCTGAAGCTAGCAAAAGTGAAAAAATAAGAATCAGCGCGACTCGTGCGCCTCCGAGAGATTATTTTAAATACAACTTTCCCTGCAATATTTCCAGTCCGTGTGCTCCTCCGATTGTCCCTCTTCTGGGGGGGAGCGAGGAAAAAACCTATCCATTCAAACCAGACTCTAATGTGAAATCGCACTAATTTAGAAGTTTAAACTTACAAAGATGCCCACGTTTCGCCAAGCCGTTATCACAAGTGAAACAAACCTGAACATCTAACGCCCAATTTCACCCTGAAGCTGCATCCCAAAAGGCTACTCAAAGGAGAAAAGGTAATTTTGCCCGGTCACGGCCAGAGCCTCTCTCACCCGCTCCCGTGGTTTGTGATGTTCTGTTGGTAAAACTCAAAATGGCGGTCGCGCTCCTCTCTATAATGTCACATCCGCATGGCGATCCAAACAGTGGCGCACACCGCGAGCGCCATGAACGCCGATGCTGCCTCACGCTAGAGTTGATTAAAACTTAACGGGTTTATCCTATATATTTTTTGTTGTTGTTTAATATTTTGCTGTTTTATTTATTTATTTTACTGACAGCAGCATCCCTATTGGCTATGCAGTATGTGTGTTGTATAAAATTACGGAATTGTAATTTGTTATTTTATTTAGCAATTATCTAACAAAAATCGCTTATTGATTCTTCTTCAGACATGCGACGAACATTAAAAAAAAGCAACATTTCCAATTTGAAAGGAATGGGAGCTAGACCTATGGTCAATATTTGCTTTGATTTTCTCTTTATTGTATCAAAATTACCACTTGTCAAAAATATCCACTTGTCCTCAGACCATTACACAATACTTCATATAGATTCAAATATATAGCCTATTGTATTAGATACTATATATATATATATATATATATATATATATATATATATATATATATATATATATATTTATACACAATATATATAGGTAAAAGGGATTTTGTTCATATCCAACACTTATTTTGTCAATGAAAATGATTTTTTATTATAATTTACATTGTGTAGCCTATTTGTGTGCACACACTTGTGTGTTTGTATACCTAACCACAGGCAAATAGCACAAATGACTTTACAAGCTGCTAACATTTAATCATTTAATTTTATTTACTAAAGATTGTAGTTTATTCTTTGATGGATGGGGCTTTTAACATCTGGAGTGAACATAGCTTAGCTACACTCTAAAAAAATGCTGTGTTGTTTTAACCCAATGTTGGGTCAAATATGGACTAACCCAACTGTTGGGTTAAATTTTGGTAACATTTTTAAATTAGCTTTTTAACCCAACAGTTGGGTTAGTCCATATTTGACCCAACATTGGGTTGAAACAACCCAGCATTTTTTAGAGTGTACAGTTGGTCAACTATACAGTATATGGATAACAATTTTGCATCCTTTACACAACTTCGAGAAAAAATGGACTTACCCAGCTCCCATTTATTGAGATATTTTCAGATACGGAACTATATTCGTATACGCAGTTTTCTAACTTTCCCAAAACTTTGAAGGTGCACTGGGAGGAGGAATTTAATTTGATGCTTGAGGAAATCATCTGGGATCTAATTCTTGCCCGAATACACTCATCATCTATAAAGGCACACTCTCATTCAATTCAAGGCAGTGCACAGAGTCCATTGATCTTTTAATAAATTTAATAAATAATACATATTAGATAAATTAAACAAAATATTCCCTGATCTCGACCCAACCTGCCTTCGCTGCACAACAGAATCAGCTACGAGTTTTGGGGGAAAGTCTTTAGGTGCTTTCATGTTATTTTTTCTTTACCAATAGACCCCAGCCCCTTAACAGCATTGTTTGGTATTTTGCCAGAATCTGCTAAATTAAACACATTGCAGACTGATATAGTGTAGCCAACTCCCCAACTACTGGCAGGCGACTTATTCTTGAGAATTGGAAGTCAGCAGCTCCCCCTTCTTATCGCCAATGTTTTTTTTTTACTTTTTATAAGCTCTCAAGGAGGAAAAGATTTGGTTTGCAATAAAACAAAAGCCAAAACGTTTTCTGAAAGGCTGGAGCACTTTTATGGAATATTTTAAGAAGACCACTGCATCTTAATTTTATTTTTAATTATTTTTTATAATATAATTTTTCAAATTTATTTCTCTGTCTTTATTTCCTTCTCCCTATTTCATTTGATTATTTATTTGTTTATTTATTTGAAAGTATAACTGCTTGCCTGGTGTTTTCATTTGAATTAATGTATTGTTGTATACGTGTATGTATCTAGATTATTTATATTATATGTGCAATATACTGTCTATTGTGTACTTATTTTTATTTTGTTATCTGTGTCTTGTCACTTGTCAACCTGTCTGTGTACTGGAAGCTTCTGTCACCAAGACAAATTCCTTGTGTGTGTAAGCACACTTGGCAATAAAGCTCTTTCTGATTCTGATTCTATATTTACATTATTGTTACTTTCTATCCGACCAAAAATGAACCAAATATAAGCAAAAGCAATAAAAAACAAAACAAAATATTGTTGTTTATTCTTTAATATAGCATCACAACTGTTTCATTTGTTATGTATTTCGGCAGTGTTTGTTATTTATTTAATGAAGTATGAGTGTCCCCTGCTGGCGTTATGTTGCATCTTTCATCTTTAATTTTGAGACCCTGCCCTTCCCCCTAATAAACGCTTTTTATGCTGCGATGTGTTGATGTGTGCGCGTCTGTGCGGAAGCCTACAGTTTCCGAAGCGAGGAGGGAATATATTTATTAGTTTTCTGTTTCAGGTATGATTCTGTATGTCCATCAGTTTACACTGTAATGACGCTTGCAAACTCGCGCTGTGCCGCGAATCGGTCTGTTTTAAAACTAAAATGCTGAGAGATAAGCAGATGTATGTGTGTGAGAATGTGTTAAAAAATAAATGACAACGAATGATAAGAGCTCATATTCTCTGTTTTTATTTAAAGGGGTCATATGATGCTGCTAAAAATAACATTATTTCGTGTATTTGGTGTAATTAAATGTGTTTATGCGGTTTAAGGTAAAAAAAACACATTATTTTCCACATACTGTACATTATTGTTTCTCCTCTATGCCCCGCCTTTCTGAAACGCGTCGATTTTTACAAATCTCATCGGTCTGAAAAGCGAGGTGTGCTCTGATTGGTCAGCTATCCAGTGCATCGTGATTGGCCGAATACCTGTGACGGAAATGTTACGCCCCTTATCATACTGTGATGCAGTGTCCCGGCCGGAGCGACGAGACAAAAACATGAAAACCCATTATAAACGAGGCATTTGTTGCATCCATTGGGGACATAATTACGGATTATAATGACTTATACTGTCTTTTTACGGGTTGCATTTATGCACCAAGAGCTTGTAAAGAGAAAGGAAATTAATTGAAATCGCATCATATGACCCCTTTAAGCTCCATTAGATGAGGCATGTTTGGAACATTCTCTTTCTGTTTACTGTTGCTGTCGGGAACTAAGGACAGCATTTAACGAACTTGCTTCAAAAAGTAACATTTCAATACATACATTTTTGGTTTTAATATTTTTTATTGTGTGGTAACCGTTTTATAAAAGCAATAAGGTACTCCAGGCCTTATTGCTGAAGGGGTTGCAGGCACGAAGCGAAGGCTTCAGTCGTGATTTATTCACGATACAGCACGGCCTCTCCTACCTTATTGCTTACGTATATAGGTCGATATTTATTCTACAAATATTTTATTTTATTATTTTTTTAAACATGGAACATTATTATATAGGTTTAAAAAAAAACCTCTGAAGGGAAAAATGCAAATGTTACAAAAATAATTAATCGTGTGCATTAAAAACAAAAAAAATCCAATGTTAGCATGTACATATACAACAGTATACAGTATATATATATATATATATATATATATACATACAGTATTTAGGAGAACTATTCAGTGTGTTACTTTCTGAGAGCAACAGCGTTGATGCGGGCATGCGCAAAACAAAGCGGGCGTGTTCTAAATCAGATCCGCCCACATTAAGGGATGCCTGAAACTGCGCAGGGCAAAAGCGACCCTCTAACCGGGCTGGACAGCAACAGTCCGGGGTAATTAGATTTCGGCGTCACAAAAGACAAAACATTTCACTTCATTTCGTTTTAATACAAACCCGTACTTCCAGAACTAAGGATATTAACCGACATTCATCTGGTGGTGTGTGATTTCAAGAACGCCAATTGACCCACAAGAGCAAGAAATCACTCAAAAAACGATTAGAAGTTCACCGAAGTTTCTCAGTATTCATCATGGAGGAGAAGAAGAAGGAGGAGAGCGAAGCGGAGATCCACGAACACGGACCCGAACATTGGTTCTCCAAATGGGAGCGCCAATGCCTCGCAGAGGCCGAAAGGGAAGAGCCGACCGAGGAGGAGGTGGACCAAAACCAGGAGAAACTCTGGCATCTCTTCCAGAATTCCGCTACGGCGGTGGCGCAACTTTATAAAGGTCTGTGCGCAGAGAAAGAGACCCCATCAGCGGCCCTCGGACTTCCAGTGGCTCGGCTAAAGAAACCGTCCGCTTCTAGAAAAATATCGCGTAAACGCGTTGTTTCTAGACTGAACCACGCCTTTCGACCTAAAAGCCCTTACCGGTCTCATTTGGCCACTAAAGTGCCAAAAGCAGCTTTTTATTCTTGTTTTTCACCGTGTGAAGGATAACTAGCTTTAGCCGCGCCGGTCTGGCTGTGTTTGACAGTTTGTTCGTTGTTATTATATTGGCCTTGCTAACCGGCTAGCCGGAAAGCCGGCTAGTTAGCCCTTAAACGCGAGTTTTTTTGTTCCACTCGGCTAAACTGTTCTGTATTGAAGAAGCTTATTTTTAAGTGGAACACATTTACGTTTTACAGGCTTATGAAATTACAAATTTTGATAAAGCCCTGTCGGTTTTTGAGCTAGCTTGTGTCCTATTGTGGCTGTGTTTCAAAACCAAGTGTACTTAACTGCCTACCATTGCGCAAGAGAGGCACGTTCGAACGCACCTATGTTACACTAATATGTTGTTTTCTCACTAGGGGTTGAGACAGCCATTGTTTGGTTAACACAAGGGATACCAGAACTCGCTCTTAAAGGGAGAGTTATTTTACCCGAAAATCAATGCGCATATTTGTGTCAACGTTTAGTAATATGGTGGTTATTGTTTGTTTAAAATGCAATAGAATTAGCCTAATATAAAATGATTATTTGGTGTGTGTGTGTATATATATATATATATGATTTTTTCTTGTATGTAGATTTGTATCTATCTATCTGTGAAGTTAAGTGACGCTTTTAAGTTAAGCTTTTGCTTGAAATGTATCTTGGCATGCTGATGTGCTGAACAAATGTGTAATTGGTGAGTGCTTCTTATTTTAACAATAAATTCGCTTTTTTATGGTTAGGCACTTAACTCTTTGTAAATAGCATTGACATGGTTTAATCCATTGCAAAACCAGCGGAATTTATCGTGTATTGTCTACACAGTTAGAAAAGGTATTTTCTATCAGTTTCCTAGTCTTTAGTGTAAAGGTTAACAATAGAAATCCTATCTGAGTGCTTTTCTGGACCTATTTTAGTTATCTCTGTTGTCTTTAAAATCACACGAGCATCCCTGATTTTATTCCTGTCTTGCAGATCGAGTCTGTCATCAGCAAGGACTGTCATTGTGGTCTCCATTTCAAAATGCTGCAACAGCAGTGACTAATCTTTACAAAGGTAACTCATTATGTATTGAGTTTACAAGCATCTAGAGTCCAACACTGTTGAATAAATTGCATACATAATTACTTCTGACTGTGATCTGTTCAACAGAGAGCATTGATGCACACAAGAGGAGCTTTGACTTAGGAATCCAGACTGGTCATCAGCGACGTAATAAAGATGTTTTGGCCTGGGTAAAAAAGCGAAGAAGAACTATACGAAGGGAGGATTTGATAAGTTTCCTATGTGGTAAAGCGCCACCACCAAGGACTTCTAGAGCAACCCCCAAACTGACTGTCATGTCTCCGAACCGACCACCTTCATCGGACACCGTATCATCTGTAGAGACTGATTTACAACCATTCTGTGAGGCCATAGCACTACATGGTAAATATTACTGCCCGCTCATAGTTAAGATACAGCCGACTGAATATGATTGTGTTTGTCAGTGCGCATATTTGTCTTAACATTTAGTGACTACATTTTGTAGTTTACATATGGTGGTTACTTTTTTTTTTATATGATTGAAAACTGTACAATGCTTATATATATATATATGTGTATATATATATATATGTTCATATTATTTGTTGATTTAAGATTCTTGTTTTTGCCAATTATTTGATAATTATTTGTATAGGCTGGCAGACATTCATGGTTCAGGGACAAGGACTGTATACCCATATGTTCCTTTAGGTTTATTTTCAAGTACAGCATTCCATTCCTCTACAAACATAGCATCACTGCAATACACTGGAAATATGAAGTTGCGTTCACATTGCCTATTTGTTATTTAGAGGTTTTTGTTAAAGCACAGCCAGCTAAACCCACCACATCCTTGTTTAAGATGTATCATTATTCATGGGTAGCAAATGTGGTGATGACACATAGTTGCTCAGTATTTTTAAAGTGTGAAAAGGATACGTGATGAAACGTGAAAGCATGTGCATTAAATCTCATCTTTGGTTCCAGGTCTAAGTGGTGCAATGGCTAGCATCAGCGTCCGCTCAAGCACTCCTGGCTCTCCGACTCATGTCAGTGGCAGCTCAAATGCAGGGCGCAGAAGGAACGGACTGCACGATGTGGACTTGAACACTTTTATATCAGAGGAGATGGCCCTCCACCTTGGCAGTGCAGGCACCAGGAAGCGGACCTCGGTCCAGTGCGCCGACGTCATCACAGACTCCCCAACCCATAAACGCAACAGAATGCTCTGAACTCAGTTGTTGTTCTGTATGCTTTGTGCTGCTTAAAATAAAAGCCACTTGATCCTCAACACTTGCGTTTCCTCAAAAAGGAAACAAGGGGCGCAGTACACTTGCATATTCAATACAGTATGCCATACAGTGAAGGCTAGTTCATACCGCTCCATGCATGTTGATTTTTTTTTTGCACTCACCACACCAGTCAAGTGACTGCATTGTTTTTTGAGTTGTATGCTGTCAGTCCCCATTTTATTGAAAACATATTAACTACAACATTACAACATCACAATAGCCTATTTTTGGTTCAAAATATCTCCTAGTTGCGCTTCCTAGTATTGCCAAGCTAATAACTCAATGTTTGTTTTCAGATAAAAGTGTCAGCATTAGCTCATTTCCCATCAGTATATTATCAGTTCTCCTTTGCACTCATTGAATCGCAGTTCTGTTGTGATCAGCTTAGAAATGTGCAAATGTATTAGTCATACTTGAAACTGCTGCTGATCTATACGTTTGTTATGTTGAGAAAGTTGCAATAATGATTTTGCACTAATACATTTTTTTAATGAACCATATAGACATCAAAAGAAAGGCAAAGTAAGTGAGGCTTATGATACAATGGTGCAATTGTTGACATTTTACATTTCAAGGCTGTTATGATTTGGTTCAGGGGTTAGGTAAATCTTTGTGCTGTACGAATGATGTTCAGCAGAACTTTCTCTCAGGAGAGGTACGGAAGTAGAAAAAAACCGTCGTCTTGAAATTGAAGTGCCCTTTAAGTGCTTTTCAAATCCAGGTCAGAGGATTTGGAGAGCCGCACGTGTACAGTCCAGCTTTGTTCTGATGTATGGAAGTCAAGCTGGATTATGACCCCCTTAAAAGTAGAAATTTAAGTTAATATGAGCTCCTGGGTAATGAAAGTGTGTGCTCTTTTGGCTGATGCACTAATATACCACTCTTGATTTAACATGATGGGTTGTCCTTACTTCTTATATAAGATACTTTAGATAGAAAGGCCAATCAGTCCTCACGTTGACAGTGTAGATTGAGTGTTTGGCATGTCAGGTAACTCTGGTGGTGGGGAATCATGATGTGGAGTGTATTTTCTGTCAAATCCCAATCAAACTGCTTTATGCAGACATATTTAATTACAAATGATTTGTTTCTGTAATATGAATATTGGCTATTTGGTTATTGATTTCATGACTAATTCCATAAACATTTGTCTTCCATAAATTAACATGGATCTAATATTGATTGCTCTGAAAAATAAGTGTTTATCATTGATTGAATTGACACGCAATGCATTTTGTTAATTTAAAGGTCAGGATGTAAAGCTACAATTTTGTTCATGTCGGGTTGGAAAGTAAAATCGTCTTTTATCCAGAACATCATAATGAAACCACAGTTGCCGTTTTTGAAAAACTTGCTTAAGTTAAAGGCTAAGTTATTAAAGTTACATTTGTGTATGTTTTGTTTACAGTTTTTTAACGAAAATAGAATATCACATCCAGTTGAGCCTGAAAACATTCACTTGTACCTCTACTGATTAAAGCAGTGATTCTTGTTCAGTAATTAAATGGATCTTTATACATCTATTGTGTCACAGCAGTAGAATTTGGACATAACTGCACATGTATGCAATGCATTGTTGCGAGTTGTGCAAAAAAAAAGCAGAGGCACAAGTCAGTGAATGCAAAACCTTCCTCCTGACAAACTAAATCTTTTCTGGATGTACACCTATCGTGGAGAGATGGAAAATATTTCAAATCATTGCGATTCTTGTGGTTTTGCCGTAGGCATGGACAGTATTTACTGTGAAGTGCTTCAGTAACTGATGCTCAACTGCCCTCTTGTGGTAATTAATATACTAACAAAAAAAAAAAGTTCTTGACCTAATTTTTTTGTGAAGAAAATGAAAATATGCGCAAAACAAAAATGCATTATGAAATGAACTTCAGCAAAAGCTGACGTTCAGCTAAATGTTTCAATGTACTATTGAACTATTTATTAGCAAATTAATTTAAAATATAAAAATTAATTAATATAATAATATATTTTAAATAGTCTATTCCTTAACTATTTGATCTTAATCTTATTTCATTTTTACACACATTGAAGTGTTGACTGCATTCAAAAGCTCAACACTGAACCTGTCTTATTGTTTTGTTTTTTTAATGGAAAATGTATTTAAAATTGTACTAAAAAGTAGTTCTAAATTATCAAGCCCCTGCTGAACAAAAGCTTTAATATTGCATTTCTCTTACCTATAGAGAGATGTACAATTATTTAATTTATTTTAACTGCAAAATGCATTTTATTTATAAGCTTTATGAAATTGAACTTAAACATGCCCTAAATTTAGGGTTGCACAAAACGTATTAGAAAAAAAAAAAAAAAAAACGTAATCTTAAGAAAACTACTTTTATAGATATGTGTTGAAATGAATGCGAATAGATACGTTCAAATACATGAAGTGTAATAAAATAAACTACTACTAAAATCCGCTAGTCTGACAAAAGGACTTTTTTTAAAACTATACAATTATTTAATTTATTTTAACTGCAAACAGCATTTTATTTATAAGCTTTATGAAATTGAACTTAAACGTGCCCTAAATTTAGGGTTGCACAAAACGTATTAGAAAAAAACAAAACAAAAACAAAAGACGTAATCTTTTTTAAATGATCATTTGTAAAAAAAAAAATGTTATTTGTAATAACTATTATTACAGACTAATAGTGTAATCTATTAACTACCCATAAAATCCCGACTTTTTACTTAATTACCAGATGGGTGTCATGCCATACAATATTTTTAATACGACTGACTTTGTATTTAATGAGAATTTAATAACAATATTGTAAGTTACTAATTATAACATTTTCATTTTACATTTTCATTCAGTCTAGTCAGAGACACTCTCAAAAACTCCCATTAAAATCACTGAAGCTGTTTACACTGTAAAATGAATCTATTACATTCGTACGCACATCTGCACTTTGTTGTTTCTGACGAGAGCAAAACACCGCGTTTCAGCGATGACTCATCTGAACGTCTCTGATTGGCCATTGCATTCATAAGCTCAACAGAATAGTGTGTGATTGGTTATAATGCGCAGCACTGTAAAAACGCGTCTGTCTCTGGCTCAACGCCAGTCGGCGAACACAGATTTGAATTTAGCAGCTGATGCTGTGCCGCACTGAACGATTTAATCACACCAGTGCTATTGTATCAAATATAAAAAATATTATTCGGCTATTTTTGTCTTTTGGAAGCTGCATTCAAAATGCATTGGCTCAGAAATCCCCTTCACTTTGAATGGGCATGACGCCTCTGCTTGTCATGGTGTATTTTCTAGGATTTTGACAGACAGACAAAGACAGATAGATAGATAGATAGATAGATAGATAGATAGATAGATAGATAGATAGATAGATAGATAGATAGATAGATAGATAGAATAAAAAACTGAGAATGTGCTGGCAGAAAATTACCAGGACATTTTCCTGTGAGTTTACGGACATTTCCTTCAACTCTAAAACGGAAAATTCTGGAGATCTTCTGTACCATTAACGGACAATTAGCAAATAAATCCAGCACAATATATACAAATTGAACATGGTTTATTTTTTCCTCATTTAAACATTCTTAGAAGTTTATTAAGCCACTGGATTCACGTAGGCTACTTTAATGATGTCTTTATCCCTTTCTGAACCTTGAAAGTGGTAGTTGCATAGGCTGTCAATGGGAGGAAAGAAAGCACTCAGATTTCATTAAAATTATCCTCATTTTGATATAATATTTTAACCCTTTAAAGTAGGCTACTCTACTCTAATTCATGCGAAATTATCTTGTTAAACTTCAACTGGCGAGGTTCTGCAACAATGTTTTCCTGTACAGCATTTGAAAATATGAAACAAAGATTCATGCACTCATGCCTGACATTTCAATATGAAACTACAAAGAAAACTGTACAATCTGAATTAAGAGCAAACATTAAGTGACACACATGCCTGTTTGTGCTCTCTTAGATCTCTCGCCATGTGCAGGTTTGAGGAAACAACTGAATACAGCCTCCAGTTTATTTTATTTTTTTTCTTTTTCTGCATGTTCAGTCAAGTTCCATTTGACTTTACTTGACATTTTACAACTTCATGAATTCAGCTGAAACAAGTATGCACACACACACACTGTATGTGACTGAAGAGGAAACAACAACTTCATAAATGCTTCAATACCATTACAGTCAGAGCTTTTTGACAGGATTATGCTCATGCTGACCTCTGTCTCCAAGGGTAACTGTGCAAGAAGTTTTAATAATTTACATGAAAATAGGAGGGTCATTATTTCAAGAATATATTGAAATAATATTCAGCCGTTATGAATGTCACTGCACAGGTCATTTTTTTCCTTAGATATCCGAATGACCTGATGAAACCACGATGAACTGGTCTCTGGTTTGGCTGAAGGGGAGGTCACTATAATCAGCTGTTCTCTACTGCAGCTAGAAAACACAACACTGGGTGGCGCTGTTACCACAGCTGTGTGACCAAAGGACGAACTACTCACCAATCATAAAGGTTATCAAATATTATTAAGCAGGCTCCAGCATCCAGGTTCCAGGCTCAAGTATCTCATAATTGTAAAGGTAATGAATGTAATCTTTAAGTATGACATAACATATGTTCATGATATTTAAATGGTAATCGAGGGGAAATTAATAGCAAATAGCAGCAACATCAAGCAAAAAACACTACAGTAGGCCTACATGCAATCCAAATGCATCACATAGCCTACGTATTTTGAAGTATGGATGAATTATCTGACAGTGCCACTAGGATATGAAATGGAGAATCTGACCTTGTGGGAAACATCCGTGAAAAAGCAATAACGGATGGGTTACATGACCATGTGCTGGCGATTCATTTTCTCTAAACATCATAACACGCTTTCATTTTTATAAGCATGTATTCAAATTTATTATGAAATTTAATTTGGATAGAAAAAAATAACCCACCAATGTTGACACTTTATCATGTAACTTTATTTATGTAAAGTTATTTATTAGCAC